GTGCTAGGTAAGTTCTAAGAAATACTTGTCCCCCCATTAGAATAGACAGGGAACTGATACTCCCAGGAGGGGGGAGATAAGGAGGAGGGGGGAAGAAGGAGAGAAGGAGGTGGAGAGGAAAAGGAAGAGGAGGTGGTGAGGGAGGGGATGAGGAAGAGAAGGAGGAAGGTGAAGAGGAGAAGGAGGAAGAGGAGAAAGAAGTGGAAAGGGGAAGGAGAAAAAGAAAGACGAGGAGGAGGAGGAAGAGGAGGGGGATAAGAGGAAGGAGGAAAAGGAGGAACAGGAGGCAGAGGAGAAGGGGGGTAGAAAAGCAGAAGAGGAGGAAGAAGAGGAGGAAGGAGGAAAAGAAGGAGGCAGAGGGGAAGTGGGAAGGGGAAGTAGAAAAGAAGAAGAGGAGGAAGAGGGGAAGTGGGAAGGGGAAGTAGAAAAGAAGAAGAGGAGGAAGAGGGGAAGTGGGAAGGGGAAGTAGAAAAGAAGAGGAAGAGGAAGGAGGAAGAGGAAGGAGGAAACGAAGGAGGAAGGGGGAAGTAGAAAGGAAGGAGAGGAGGAAGAGGAGGAAGAGGCAGGGGACGGGAAGAGAAGGGAGGAGGAAGAGGAAGAGAAGAGGAAGGGGAGATGGGAGGGAGGGGGGGGAGAGAACTCAACACCAAGCAAGGCAACCCCACCACCACCCCCTCCCCTCCCGATCCAAGCAGCCGCAGAGGCGCGCCCTCCTCCCGTCTCCCCACCGGGCTCCCTTCCCACGATCCCCTTCCAACCCCGCGTGTCAGCCCAGCTCCCTCCCCCACCCGATACCCAACCCCGCCGCAGGTGAGGCTGCAGGTGAGGCGAGGCGAGGCCGAGAGGAGCCCGGCTTACCTTTGCGAAGTAGAGCATCCATAGCTCGTAGAGCCGCTCCTTGGAAGCCATCCCGGACGGCGCTCTCCCCGCAAGGGCTCTGCGGCGCTCGGTCGCTCTAAGCGCGGCCGGGCAGCGCTGCCGGCCGCCCTTCCTTCGCCATGCTACCGCTCCTGATTCGGGCTGCGCTGCGCGCTCCGCAGCTGCTGCCCAGCTCCCTTCTCGCTCCTCCTCCTCCGCCGCCTGATTCGCAGCCCGGCCGGGCTCCGGGGAGGCGAAGCGGGCGGAGCGCAGGTGCGCCCCTCCGCCGGCCCGGCGCTGCTCCGCCCGCGTTCGCACGACGCTCCTCCGACGGGGAGGCTGCCCTGCGCGCAGGTGCCTTTGTTTCCCCGGGAGGACGCGCGGCGAGGAGGCGCGGGCGTTGTGTGCGGAGGGAGGCGCCTCCCGGATTCCACCTGTTGTGGGAATGCATTGCAACAATCCGGGGTGCGGGTTTGGGTTAGGAGGAAACTGGGAAGAAAGGTATATCCCCATGATGGAAGTATTGCAACGCGATTGTTAAAAAGGGTTTTTTTTAAAGAGTTAGAGGTGCATAAGGTGTTGTGTGAACGGATGAATCTTCCGGGTTCCACTTGTTGTGTGAATGCAACTCCCTGGGTGTATAGATTTGGGCTAGGAGGACAAAGACCCACATTATGGAAATACTTGCAAATGCAATCTTTAACCATTTAAGGCAGGGCTGTCCAAACTTGGGAACTTTAAGACTTGTGGACTTCAACTCCCAGAATTCCCCAGCCAGCTGGCTGGGGAATTCTGGGAGTTGAAGTCCGCAAGTCTTAAAAGTTCCCAAATTTGGACAGCCCTTCTTTAAGGGTTAGATCAATTTTCTGGGTTCTTCTTGTTGTGTGAATGCACAACTTTCTGGGTTCTTCTTGTTGTGTGAATGCTCCCCAAGGCTGCAGGTTCGGGCTAAGAGCAGACGGACTCCCATTACCGAAATATTGTGATGTTTTAGGCTTGCAAACACTGATTTATTGTTTAAGGGTTAGGGACACGGGTGTTGTGTAAACAAAATGCCTCTTCCGGGTTCTGTTGTGTGAATGCAGCTCTCTCTCTCTGAGGTGGAGGTGCAAGTTTCCGGTAGGAGGAGAGGGACAGTATTTATTGAAATACTGTAAGATTTCAGGCTTGCAATGCGGCTATTCATCCTTTAAGGTTTAAACGGCGCAGGGCATTGTGGGAAAGGATGCACCCTCTGGGTTCCATTTGTTGTGTGAATGCCAACTAGGAATTGAGTGCAGGGAGGAAGGAACCCGAATTCTCAGCAACACCTGGTAGGTTCCAGGCTTGGAAATGCAGTCTTTGAAGGTGCACCAGCTGAACCCCACTTCGTTCACACAACTTTCCTCTCCGAAGGAAATTCACAGGACCCCCCCTGGGAGATGCCCCTCTGCTCAGGTGTCTTTGTTGCCTCTCTCTGGTTGGTAGACTCCAGGAAAGAAAGGCATAGAGCTGTGAGGGCACACCTATGCAATGCCCATGTCGCCTGGCACGCACAGCCTTGCCTGTTTTTCTTACGGGTTTCTGGCGCGCATGTGACGATCAGCTCTCCTTCGCGTGCATGGCAGTGCCGAAAACTGTTGTGCTCCTGCGTACAAGTCAGCTTATTCATGGATGCTCACGCGTGGCCCAGAGAAGTGTGTGTGTGCATGTAATGCTTCTACATGACTTTTTCGGCTGAAAAGTTTTGCGATCGCTGGCATAGAGCGTTGTGCGAAGGGATCCATCTTGCAGGTTCCACTGGTTGTGTGAATGGAACTGGGAGTCCAGTTTTGGCCTAGGAAGGTAGGGGCTCCTGTTGTGAAAATAACACCGTTTTGAGACTTGCAAACATAACCATTAATCTTTTTAAGGTTAGGGTGCACCTGCTGGACTCCCCGTGGTCTGTTCATACAATCCTCCTCTCCAAAAGATGGGGGGGGGGATTTCTTTTCCTGGCTAGGTAAATGCACAACGCAGGTCATGGTGTGAATCGTGGAGTCATAGCTCTGGAAGGGGCCTCGGAGGTCCTCTAGTCCATCCCTGCTGCTCGAGCCAGAGGCATTATTTTTCTTATTCGTTGCAAAGTCGTGTCTGACCCATTGTGACCCCGTGGACAATGTTCCTCCAGGCCTTCCTGTCCTCTACCGTCCTCTGGAGTCCATTGAAGCTCACGCCGGCTGCTTTCGGTGACTCCCTCCGGCCATCTCCTTCCCTCTCGTCCCCTTCTTCTTCTTCTTTTGCCCTCCATCGCTCCCAGCATGAGGCTCTTCTCCAGGGAGTCCTTCCTTCTTATTAAAGTCTTTGAGTTTCCTCTTCAGGATCTGGCCTTCGAAAGAGCAGACAGGGTTGATCTCCTCTAGGACTGACCGGTTGGATGGCCTTGCAGTCCAAGGGACTCAATGCAAGAGTCTTCTTCTCCAGCACCAGAGTTCAAAGGCCTCCGTTCTTTGGTGCTCAGCCTTCCTTATGGTCCAACTTTCACAGCCATCCATCGCAACTGGGAAAACCATCGACTTTCTTGAAACCCTCCAGCAATTCTGGAAGGCAGGATTGTTCCATTGATTATTTGCATCTTCTGGGTTCCGTCTGTTGTGTGAATGCAACTATTCAAGGGTGCAGGGTTGGGCTAGGAGGAGAAGGGCCCCAATATTTCGGCACCTGGAAGGGTTGGGATAGAACCAGGGATAGCCTGCAAGCTTTACTCAGAAGGGAATTGAAGCATCAAGAAAGACATGTAGAAATACAGAGGTTCTCAACTCAGGGCCACAATTGGGTCCAAAATTTCCATTGTTAAACCAAGACGCTTGTTAACTGAGTTTTGCCCCCATTTCACGACTTTTCCTTGCCACCGTCGCTAAGTGAATCACAGCAGTTGTGAAATTAGTAACACGGTGGAAGCACGAATCTGGCTTCTTTGAACTAAACGCATTTAGCATGGATTTCACTTAGGACCACAACTGAAAGAGGAATTAGCCGGCCTGAGTCTCCTTGAGAGTGGGAGGCATACAAATTAATTAATTAATTAAATAAATAAATAAATAAATTTCTGTTCGTAAGCGAGGCAGTTGTTAAGTGAGTCACACCCAATATTTGAGTTTTTTTTTTTGCCATGATTGTTAAGTGGGTAAGTCGGTTGTTAAGCGAATCTGGATTTTTCCATCGAAGTTTGACAGTCAGAAGGTCGCAAAAGGGGATCACGTGACCCCAGGACACTGCAGCCGTCGTAAATATGAGCCAGCTGCCAAGCCTCCGAATTTTAATCATGTGGGGTTGCTGCAACGGTTGTGTGAAAAACGATCATGTCACTTTTTTCAGTGCCCGGGATAACCTTGGTCACTAAATGAACCGTTGTAAGTCGAGGACTACCTGTACGTGACACGGGAGTAGGGGGCAATCCTAATGTGTCCCTGCTAAAATAATCAGAGCAGTGTCTTTCAAAATCGGCTGCTTTAAGATGAGTGGACTTTCAACTCCCAGAATTCCCCAGCCAACAAGTTTGAAGAAGTGTGGGAATCCACCCAAACTGCCTGGAGGCCTCTGGGTTGGAGGAGGCTATTCTAAGCCATCTGATTCACTCTGGACCACTCTTGTCAGCCCTTGAAAAACATATTGTTTTCCCCACTGGGAATAAAAACACCTTCCAGCTTCTCACAGCGGTATCAGCAACACCATTGTAGGGTGAGAGACCACCAGACTCTCACTATTCCAGCTAGAAAATATTGCTGAATTTCTCTAAACAACACATTAACTACCACCACCGTGAAATCACAGCCTGGCTTGGAATACAGCAGGGCTAAGATCTCCAAGCCTCTGTAAGTATTGCCTGCCTGGATCAAAGCAAGGCTGTGTTAAACCGGCCAAGCCAGGAGAAAAAAATAGAGGCTCAGTCTCTCTTCCGCAGCCATCACCCATTCTGCAGCCTTCCTGCACTCTGCATATGCTCAGAGAACTCTGCCACAACGACGCACTCAACCTTTCTCTCCTCCCTTGCAAACTTTCACTCCTCGAGCGATGCGCTCGGCGCTCGGCTGGCAGCCCCTGGCGTCATCGATCTGCTCCCGTTCGGCTTCCCGCCGGACGCGCGGTTATCCGTCCGTCGCGCTTGCGCAGTAGATCTGAAGATGGCGTCCGAGGCCGGCGGTTTGCAGGAGGAGGCGCTGCGGCGAAGGGAGCGGCTGAAGGCGTTGAGGGAGCGCACCGGGGCGGGCAGAAAGGTAAAGAAGGCCGGGAGCCGCCTCAGAGGGCCGGGAGGCGGCTTTGGAGGCGCTCAGACCGTCTGGGGGAAGGAGGGGGAAAGGCCTATTGTGGGGAACATGCTTGCAGGTGACGTCACTCGCGCATGCGTATTGCCAAACAGGGAACTACAAAGCCCATCCCCGTGGCAGGCCCGTCTTCCTTGTGCTATGTCCTCCATTTGCATTATCTTATTTAGCCCTGGAAAGTACCTGGGGCCCCGAGGACAGGGACTACAAAGCCCATCGTCCCCTTACCTGCATTGTAATGGCTAGCAGCGAGGTCTCTAGGTTGTGGGTGGTTTTATTTTATTATTATTATCATTATAATTATCGTTATTAACAAGAACAATGTCGATAAAATTAATATTGTTATTAATATGTGTTTTTCACAACGGCTGCAGTGATTCGCTTAACAACCACGGCCTGTGAAAGGAGGCGTGATTCACTTAGCAACCGCCTTGCTTAGCAACGGGGACCCTGGTCCCAATGCTGTTTGCAAATTGAGGAATATCTGCAGTTGAGCTAAGTCAAGTGGTGGGTGGATTTCAACTCCCGAAATCCCGCAGCCACTTATTTTTGCAGCGATCTTAACGTTAAGCAAACACCGCAGTTGTTAAACAAATCCATGGCCTGTAATGGTGTGGTTTTGGGCAGAAAGTGGAAGTACACCTCAGCTTAACAACAGTTCATTCAGTGACCATTCAAAGCTACAACGCTGAAAGAAGTGACTTACAGCCGTTGCCACATCCCCAGGGTCACGTGATCAAAAATTGGATGCTTGGCAAACTGACTCGTATTTATGACGTTTGCAGTGTCCTGGGGTCATGTGATCCCCTTTTGCAACTTAGTGTCGTAAGTGTGAAGAAGAATCATATGTTGCTTTCTTTTCTGTACCGTTGTAACTTCAAGCAGTCACTAAATGAAGCCGAGGACCACCTGTAAAGCAAACAATGCATTTCAGAGTCAAAATAATAAGATAATCCTTGACTTATAACCACAATTGAGCCTAAAATTTCTGGTGTTAAGCAAGATAGTCGTAGATTTTGCCCTTCCAGTCCCTTGGTGATTGGCCCAAGGTTACCCAGCTGGCTTTTATGCCTAAGGCGGGACTAGAACTCACCCTAGGCCCCTTAATTATGGGGTGATGCAGGGGTTGGTCCTGTCCCCCCTCCTGTTCAACATTTACATGAAGCCGCTGGGAGAGATCATCCGACGGCACGGGATAGGATACCATCAATATGCGGACGATACTCAATTGTATCTGTCCGCCCCGTGCCAACTCAGTGAAGCGGTTGACGTGATGTGTTAGTGCCTGGAGGATGTGAGGGTCTGGATGGGGGTGAACAAGCTGGCTCTCAATCCTGACAAGACCGAGTGGCTTGTGTTTTTTCCTCCCACAAATTGCCTATTCCATCTCTCAGGCTGGGGGGTGAAATTATACGCCCCTCAGACAGGGTTCACAATTTGGTAGTCCTCCTCGACCCACAACTGACTTTAGATCACCATTTGTCGGCTGTGACCAGGGGGGCGTTTGCCCAGGTCCGCCTGGTGCACCAATTGCGTCCCTACCTGAACTGGGAGGATCTTACAACAGTCACTCATGCCCTCGTGACCTCAAGACTGGACTACTGCAATGCGCTCTACATGGGGCAGTCCTTGAAGAGTGTTCGGAGACTCCAGCTTGTCCAGAACGCAGCCGCGCGACCGATTGTGGGTGCACCCCGGTACACCCACATTACACCTATCCTCCGCGAGCTGCACTGGCTACCGATTGGTCTCCGGATACGCTTCAGGGTGCTAGTTATTACTTATAAAGCCCTTCATGGTATTGGACCTGGGTACTTGAGAGACCACCTGCTGCCGATTACCTCCCACAGACCCATTCCATCCCACAGATTAGGCCTCCTCCGTATTCCATCTGCCAGCCAATGTCGGCTGGCGACTACTCGGAGGAGGGCCTTCTGTGTGGCTGCCCCGGCCCTTTGGAACGAGCTCCCTGTGGAGATTCGGACCCTCTCCACCCTTCAGGCCTTCCGGACGGCCGTGAAGACCTGGCTGTCCCAGCAAGCCTGGGGTTGAGTTCCCCCCCTACTTGAATTTGCTGTGTCTGTTGTGCTTTTAAATTGTTTGTATTGTCCGTTTGTCTTTGTCTTACTTTTTGTAATTTCCCCTCCCTTGTCTTTGTTCAGCCGCCCTGAGTCCCCTCGGGGAATAGGGTGGCCTACAAATTGAATAAAATCCAAAATCCAAATCCAATCACTGTCCCCTGGTGATTGGCCTGGAGTCACTCAGCCATCTTTCAGGTGTAAAGTGGGATTTGAACTCACCCTCTCCCCCTTTCTAGCCTGCTGCCTTAACCACTAGACCAAACTGCCTCCCTCTTTTTCTTCAACCACAGTTTGTAAGTTATGTTATCTCTTAAGAAGTGGAACCACCTTAATTTCTTCCCGATCAGCAATGGCGTGTTTTCCCTTTGCTGTGAAGCATAGCAGGTGCATTCGTTTTAAGTTCTAGAAGGCTTGTGAGCTTGTGGAAGTGAGCTACACTCACAACAAACCCCTGCATGGATGCCTGAAGGCTTCTTCTCTTCACAGGAAGAGGCACTCGAACAATCCCATGAAAAGTGCGCGATTTCGTTTTGTCTCAAGCCCCCTCAGAAAGAGATTCATCTCTCTCTGGAAATTGCAGCTGGCAATAAAACGGGAGTGTAGAACGCCTGCTAGCTATATAATCTCGTTTTTCCTCTCTGTTTCTTGGTATGTACAGGTAGTCCTCAACTTACGACCACAGTTGAGCCCAAACTTCCCATTGCTAAGCACGACAGTCTTTAAGTGGGTTTTACCCAGTTTTAAAGCCTTTCTTGCTTCAGTTGTTAAGCGAGTCCCTGAGGTCGTTAAGCGAATCTGGCCTCCCCATTGACTTGTCAGAAGGCCACAAAAGGGGGATCACAAGACCACCAGGGACATTGCAACCGTCATAAGTAAGTCAGCTGCCGAGCACCTGAATTTTGGGCATGCTGTACGTGTGAAAACACCATTTTTCGACGCTGTTGTAAGTTTGAACTGTCACTAAATGAGCTTGTCGTAAGTCAAGGACTACTTGTAATCTCATTTTCCTCTGTTTCTTGATTTTCTGCTTTGACCATTGCTCCTTTAGCACATTAGAGCCAAGGTGGCACAGTGGTTAAATGCAGCACTGCAGGCTACTGCTAGATCAGCAGGTTAGCGGTTCAAATCTCACCGGCTCAGGGTTGACTCAGCCTTCCATCCTTCCGAGGTGGGTAAAATGAGGACCCAGATTGTTGGGGGCAATATGCTGACTCTCTGTAAACCGCTTAGAGAGGGCTGAAAGCCCTATGAAGCGGTATATAAGTCTACTGCTATTGCTATTCTTCTTGTGGCTCAGGTTGGCTGAAAACGTTGCTTGAAAGGAGGGATTGGGGCTTCTGGACTTTTTCAAAAACATTAATACATCTCTTAAAATAGCCTGGGTTATAAATATATAACTGGACTGAAGTTGACACATTTTGGTGGCTGGTTCCAAAATCCAGGGTAATTCCTAGTCAAGTTTCAGTTCTGTTATTTTCAAAAAAAGTTTATGCAGATGTTTGGATTTCACCTAGCAGAAAACGCCTGAATATAAACCTTGGCCAACGCATGAAACACCGTGGAAAGTTTTAAAAATGGTATCCTCAGAATTCAGTGGCTGCTTCTTCTGAGTAAATTTATCTTTAAAGCTCCGAGATCCAGTTTGGTCTGCTGGTTCAGGCGCTAGAATTAATAGGGGAGGGTGAGTTCTAGTCCCGCCTTAGGCATGAAAGGCAGCTGGGGGGGCTTTGGGCCTCTGCCTCGGCCCCTCCCACCACAGAGGGTTATTGATTTGGGGGAAATAAGAGGCGGAAGGTGTGTTGGATACGTTGCTGGTTTCTAAAAATAACAAAAGGCCGGATATGAATCATATTTAATTATTTAAATTCATTCTGAAGTCAAGTATAAACTGTTGGCCTGAATTCAGAACAGGACTCTTCCTGTGTGTATTGGATATTTATCTTGCACAGCAGGAACTCCTCCACTTACAGCCATTCATTTAGCGACTGCTTGAAGTCACAGCAGCAATAATTACAACCAGTCCTCGCACTTACGTCTCGCAGCATGATGGGGTGGCAGCGTCCCACATCATCCCCTTTTGCAGCTTTCTTTTAACCAAAGGTAACGGAGGAGCCTGGTTCGGTTCACAACCGTGTGACCGACTGAACAACTCTGGGTCCCCTGGACAAGAAAGGTCGCAAAAGTGGGGCAGGATTGACCCGATAGCTGTCTCGCTTTGCAACAAATTTGGGGCTCCATTATGGCCATAAGCTGAGAGTATCAGCCGTGCCTTGAAACCACAATTTTAAGTCTGGAGGGCAGAAGAACCATGGGAGTGATTATTTAATGTGGGTGCCCAATATCTAACTAAACAATTTCCAGAGGGGGGGTGGGCCTGAGTTTCCCACACAGCTGAGGATTCTGGGCCCCACATCTGGAATTGCTCCACGTTGGCAGCTTTGGCTGCGAGATACACGATAAAAGCTCTTTTCTAAATCCGATTCTGACTGATTGGATTAGATTAGATTAAAGTTAGGCTTTATCCTCTTTTCAGCCACGTGACACACACACACACACACACACACACACACACACACCAATCTTCCCCAGCCTGATATCTTCTGCAAGTAGTCCTTGAGTTATACCAAGAGAATTGAGCACAAAATTTCTCCCGCTAAGTAAGACGGTTGTTAAGTCCCTTTTAATAACCTTCCTTGCCGCGGTTGTTAAGCGAATCCCTGCCGTTCTTAAGTTATCCACACAGTTGTTAAGCGAATTCGGCTTCCCCATTGGCTTTGCTTGTCAGAAGATTCCCAAAAGGGGGATCATGTGACCCCGCGGACACTGCGCCCATCGTAAATACGAGCCAGTTGCCAAGCGTCTGAATTTTGA